AAAAAAAAAGAATTGAAATGAGCTTTCAAAATATTACCCAGCCTCAATCTACCATGCCTTGGGTATATAAATCTCATATTATTTACTTACAAAACCCTCCTGATATTTAGTAAACGAGTTCTTTAGAAAGAAAGGTGGATAGCCGAATTACTGAGTGGTTTCGCTGGAAGGATTTTTCGCCCCGGGGGTTTCGTACTGCTGCAGACTCACAGAGTTCCAAACTTGTTCGCTGACTGTCCCTGACCGGCTGACCTCCCACAGGGTGTGTTTCACTAATTCTGAAAATGTCACCTGAAAGCAAGACCGCAGCTTCTTGCTGAGAAGGACGTAAAGGATCGGGTTAAGACAGCTATTGATGAAAGCAAATCCGACAGTCACAGGAATGGCATCCCGGAGCAAGGCGTGATAGTAATCGTTATGGTGAATTGTTAGCTCAATGATGCTGAAGATGTGGTAGGGGGTCCAGCAAACGAAGAAGGCAACCACAACGGCCAGGACAGTCCAAAGAAGCCTGCTGGAAGTCAAGACGACGTTCTTCTTCACCTTGACGAATAGAAGGGAGTAACAAATTATCATGGTTAGGAGAGGGAAGAGATAACCAAAAAAGAACCTCACCCAGGTGAGAACATGGTGTATCAGGACAGTGAGGCTGGGGTCATGCGGATGAAAGTTATTGTAGCAAATGGTGAAATTGTTGTGCAGGGTAAGCGTATCTCTGAAATACAAGGCCGGGCTTCCAATTATGGTTGCCGAGGTCCAAATGATGGCAATCAAGATACAAGTGTTTCTGACCGTCCGATATTTGTAAGAGCAGACAGGATGGATCAGGTGAACATAGCGGTCGAGGCTGATGGCCGTAAGGAAGAAGACACTGGCAGACATGTTGAACAAGGCGACGAAGGAGTTGGCTTTGCACAGCCATTTCCCAAATGGCCAGTGGAAGCCCGTGGCCACGTAGGTGATGTAGAGAGGCAGGAAAAGGACAAAGATAAAGTCTGCAATGGCAAGGTTGAGGAACCAGAGGGAAGTGACCGTCTTATCCCATTTAAAGCCCATGATCCAGATGACAATTGCGTTGCCAGGCACTCCTAGGAGGAAAGCTAAACTGTGTAGCACAAGAGAAACGATGTGCGCGTGACTGAGCGAGGGCTGAGGCGGCTCCTCTTCTTCGTAACTCTCAAAGTAGTAGGTGAAATTGTCAAGATCTTCATACTGCATGAAGTCAGCCGATGGCATGTTGCTGGCTGTTTCCTAGGTGATGTGAAAGGACAGATTTTAGACTGTATTTAAAGGCTGGGCCAAAGCATAGGGAAACGGCACTCATTCAAATAAATTCTCATAAAATACACTTAGCACTGGCATCTTATGGCAACCTAACAGCATCTACTGGCCCGTATACAAGATTAAGCAATG